TATTACATTTATTCATTTATTTATATATTATATGTATTTAATATTATACACCAAATAAAATATCATTATTAGATCGAAAACTATCATCTTGCTCTTGCGCTTGCTCTTGTTCTTGTTCTTGTTCTTGTTCATCATCACCATCATTATCTTTCATATTTAATTCAGCATATATTGAATTCACAGTTATTTTCAATAGACCACCATTTGAAAAATCATGCTATAATAAAATAAAATTATTAAAAATAAAAAATTAAAATTGATTATTAGCAAGATCTTACTATATATTTATTCATGCAAAGTTTCATTTGTTTTTCATCACAAATAATTTTCACTGAACGTGAATTTAGATAAATATCACAGACAGCTAATGTGAAGATGCAATGTGCATGTGATAGTATTGAAACTGCTAACTTCGAGAAGGCAGATCTTGCAATAGCTGTCACCCAATAAAGATCATCATTGTTTATTTCGAACAAGGATGAGAAACAATTGATTACATTTACATTTTTTTTTTCATTTTATGATATCTGCTGAGGAGGTGTAACATTTTATTTGGGATAGTCTTTCCACACTGAAAATATGCCACATCGATGATCTGACATTTGACAATGCAATCCCATGATAATTTTTGATTTTTGATAATAATTATACGTATATAAAATATAAATGAATAATTTATAATTATTTAAAAATAATAAATAATATAGCTTAACAGATTGCTCCATTTACTATAAAAACAGTTAGTAAATTGATTATCTGACATATCTGCCATATATTCAAATTGATTTATATTTAGGTAATTTTTTAACGTATTTTTAAGTTCATTTTGTGAAAAATATAAATTAATTGGAAAGAGTTGCTTAGCTACGTTCACAAAGCATGACTATAAATTTAAAATATCAATATAAATCGATTTGACTTTTAATTTAAAATATCGATTATAGTTGATTTGACTTGATCTAATTTTACAATTATGAAAACATACATCAAAAACCCATGGTGAAAGTTCTTTTTCTTTATCATTACGCTGTTTTTTTATTTCATTCTTGATATTACATAAATTCTCACTAAGCTCTTTTATAAGAAGATATAACTCTTTATGTTGAGCAAATAAATATTTGTCAGTTTCACAACGATGATGATGATATTCTAAATTAATTAATATAAGATCAATTTAAAGATATTTAATAATTTAATACCTTCTGGTTATAGATGAATTGGAGATTGATGGTATCTTCTTGATATGTTCAAATTATTTCAGCATTAAGATGAGTGTACATTATAATCATTATAATTAGAAATTGATACCAATATTTGATTAGGAATGGATACCAATAAATAATTAGAAGTGAATATCAATAGTGATGGTGTAGGAGTACAATTATATGTTCCTAGTTTTTTAGTATATAAGTAAATAATATAAAATGGTCTATACAAATTATATAATATTATTATCTCTTTTTTACTCATATTTTAAATTGAGAAAAAAGATATGTTCAGATAAAAAGTTGTAAAATTAAGTTGCAAGAAAAGAAATACGCATATTGTTTTACGCTTCTATAAATAGAGAATACATGTGAACTATCTTGAAATAATATTTTACAAATGGCTCCCTTCCATATTTTCATATTTAAATTAGCATTCTTATTGTTCAGGTATATTATTTTAACTTCTAAATAAGTAGATATATCGATTGATCATAAAACAATACATAAAATCACATTTTTCATTTAAAATAAGAGATTTAGGAAGTTGATATTTGATCAATTACCATTTTTAGATATTAGTAATAAATAATAATCACAAACAAATATTATCTTCTAATAATAGAATAGTATGTATTATGATTGGATAATAAATTCAGATTATAACATTAAAGATAGATTATAATCAGCCATATAATATTAACTTCCAATAATGAAATAACATATATATAATTGGATAATAAATTTAGATCATTACAAATCGATAATTATTAATTAAATTATATAAACAGTACCAAAACTCTAACAAATAATATTATAATAATTTATATATAAAATAAATTATTTAAAATCAAGTTACTTTAAGATATAATAATTTGATCACTATTCAATAAATTACAATATCTTTTTACTAAATAATATAAATGGTAACATTTTTAAATAATTCTAATTAATTATAATTAAGATATTGAGTTCAAAAACTAAATTAAATATTTATAATAATAATAGTTAACTTTAAGAGGCAAAAACTTAGTTATTAACTAATTGAAATAAAATAAATATCATGCAATTCTATAAACTAAACTAATAAATGATAACAATTTCAAATAATAGATAAATAGTATAAAAATCAATCAAGAAAAAAATATTTAGCAAAATATAGAGATAATATTTCAATTAATTTTCATTATAAAAATAAAATAACATAGGAGCTCAATAGAAGAATGATAAAATAAATATAAATTAATTCAATTATCTTGCAATATATTACTTTATATAAATACATAATATATTAATCAAATAAATATAATATATATTAACAAACCAATAATTAACATTGATTATGATTGTATTATTCAAAATGAAAATGATTTTTAACAATATCCATTGGTAATCAATTATCAATATTTTCACCAATCAATATTTAGCATAATTATATTTGAATACTAACTATATATATTGGTAATTGATTGCAAACTACTTCAATTGACAATTAATTATCAACACCCTAACTGATTAACATTAATTATGATTATAAATAATTACAAACTATTCTCATTGATAATTGATTACTAATCATATTTATTGACAATTGAGCATTAATAACTCATTAATTAGCAACAATCGTAATTACAATAAATTTTCGCTGATAATTAATTAGCTATCTTATATATTGATACTTGATTTTTAATATCTCTACTAATTGATATCAATTATGATTGCAATTAATTATAAACAGAACTCATTAGCAATTAATTACTGACAATTTCTATTAGTAATTAATTATCAATATATTATTATTTTTCATCACTAATGATTATAATTGATTGCTGATGATGTTTTTCGATGATTTTTGATCATAATTGATTGTTAGCAATTATAATTAATTATAATTACTAATAATTAATTATAATTCCTATTGATAATAAATAATAGAAGTGTTAATAATTGATTGTCAATAAATATAATTATAAATTAATTATCAACAAGTATAGAAATTTCTTGATATTCTTCTTTTATTTTAACTTATTTTTATTAGTATTTTTAATCTTTTAAAGTTTTATTTCTCCAGTTGAACCAATTTATTTTTTTTCTATGCTGCAAATTTTCAAGTTTATTTTAATTTTTTATTATAATAAGTTTTAAAATATTGACTATTAATAAAAATATAATTTGAATAATTCTTTTATTTAGTTGTACTTAATAGATATTATTAAAATTATTAAATAATAAAATTTTAATATTTTTAGTATAACTAGTATTAAATATTTTAGATTTAACTTCTATATCTTTTATTATTAAAGATAATCTGAATTTAAGTTAACAAAAGTTTTTTTATTATTAATAAATATTGCTTGATATAATAAAATAATAATTGCTTTTTTTAGGATATCTTATATCAAAATTAATATTAATTTCATATACTCTTTTAATATTTTATCTTTATTATTATTATTAAATATTTTAATTTCAATATTATTTTTTGAAATAACTAATTTATTTTGTTTATTTTTAGTTATTTAATTTTATTATTGTAAATATAAAATAGATATTTTTATTTTTTCAATTTGATATTTGAATATTAATATTTTTTTTAATTTAAAATATTAACATTATTATAAATTTATTTATTTTTAAATAAAAGAATATAATTATCTTTTTTAATTATAAGTACATTAATTTTGAGATCTTGGCTATTTAAATTAATTGGTAAATTAATTATTTCTCCAAGTAATCTTTCTTTTATTTCAACTAAATTAATATTATTAAATTGTTATATTTTCTAATTGATTTTTTTTAAAGTTTCATTTGATATTATATTATTTACAACTCTATTATTAATAATAATTATTGTATTATAATCTTTAATTTTTCCAATATAATATATTTTATCAATAGATTTTTGTTCTACTTTTTTATTTTCTTTTTTGTTACTAATTAATATTTGTTTAACGGCAATTTTTTTTGTACATCAGATTGTGTACATCAAAATTCTGATTGACTAATTTCTATCACATGATCTATTCACTCAATATGTTTGTTCAATATCAACACATAAATTCTGATTGGTTGATGATCGACTGATAAATATATACTATCACTATATAATATGTCTTTAAATTTCTGCTATTACTACTTCTTATCGCTACTAATGATACAAGCAATTTTTTTGCTACTAACAGAATATGGTTACTTACATGTACCTGTTACTATAATGAAAACTGACATTCCAAAAACTGGACGCGTTCTCCCTACATTTGCTGAAGCCCGTTTACCTGTCACTATAATGGAAACTGATATTTCAGAAACTGAACGTGTTTTTCCTGCGTTTGCTGAAGCCCATTTACCTATCACTATAATGAAAACTGATATTCCAGAAACTGAACACATTTTTTCTGCATTTGCTGAAGCCCGCTTACCTGTCACTATTGTTACTGTTCTTATAGTGATAGGTAAAGTATTAACTAATTATAGTAATTAATTAAGAATTGTATAAGAGTGATAATAGTGACT